TATAGTATTCTGCTTCTTCATTAGGAGAACAGCAACATACTCAACAGTTGCAAAAAAGAAACCAAATGATAGCTATAAGAATTAATGTCTTTCTTGAGGATCTGTGGCTGTTGGAGTGGAGGACTGTGCCCTGCACATAAGCTACAACTCTTGCAGTATGTTCAACTGAAGTAACATAAGTTCAAACTTAAGTTCTTGAAAGCAACTTGCTAAAATTATCACCACAGAAGTAAATTTTCCAGATTTATCAATGCAACATGAAAACTTTGTTTCTCTGTCTTCTTAGGTTCCCTTCCCAAATTCTATCTTGCTAAGCACACTTCTTTCACAGATCTGAACATCTTGATTCCCTACTTAAAATATTTAGGTTAGAGTGTTCACTAACAGTTGCTGTAAAAATTCAGTTTCTTCCTCCTATATCAGTAACTCGTTGGTGTTCCCTGAACAGAAAAGAATCTGCTGCGTAATTATGTCTTTTTCCTTATATCCTGAGATACTTCTGTATTTTAGGATTTGAAATGCTTCCTGTCTCTTTTCTGTCTCCACTCAATATATTGTTCAGTTCAATAGCTCCTTACATCTGATTTTGGGACTCGAATTATTGGTTCTGTCAGTTTTATTTATACGTAGCTTCAGCCAGATATGTAAAAGCAGCTCCAGCTGTGTTTTCCCTCTTGGTAGGATCTCTCCAGCGTTAACGATGTTCTCTACAGAATTAGTTTAACCCAAGCTGTTATACAGCTTGAGTTACAAAATGGATGCACAGGATCAGGCAATCGTTTTGCTTCCCTCTCTAGAAGACTAGAAGTATAACAGCAGAGCAGTCAAGAGCTCCTGCACGGTGCATGCGTTCCCCTCTTTATGATGGAGAAAGAATGTCTTTTTAGCGGTGGCGTATTTTGTGTAATTACAGTAAACATTAAGTTGGTTACTGCAGTCTTCATTGGAAAGGAGTGTGCTTTAATGGTGGAGTTGGTGATAAGATGTTTTCTTTGCACTGATATGTAAAGGTGACCTAGAAATGGTTTCCATGGCAGTAGGATGTGCTACGTGCTATTGATGGCTCAGAGGAGGCCCCGGAAGGCTATTAGGTTTAAAATGTGAGCACATTCAAGAGCGACTTTCAAATGACTCTCAAAACCTGGTGACATTTTTGGGTGACTATCAATCCTTTGGTAGATGAGTCAGTGGTGTGTCTCAGCCCTGGGCATGACAGATGTTTGTTCATAAGCAATTAGCAGCCATGCTGACTTCTCCTGTCATCCCCAGAGCTGATCTCTGCTGGTAAGAGCTGCAGTGCTTGACAAGAAAGCCAGCGGTGCTGCTGCACGTGCTGGACTAGCACTGTGCATGTGTAATGAACTTCATTTCCAAGACTGGTTTAAAACCAAAAAGATCCTCCCATGGGTACTGCATATTCTCTACCTAAAAATAACAATTTTTGTCTAAAAGGTATGTTTAGGTCAAATCGTCTCATCCTCTATGTATTTTCTCTTTTTTTCTTCCTTTTTTGGCAAGCTTCAGAAAATCCTTCACAAAATGATGGACTTTGCCTTTATTAAAGAACTTTTTTTCCACTTGTAAGATCAATGAGAAATAATCAGCAAAACCAGAACTATCAAACAATTAAACCTTCAAGTACAGAAATTATACCTGACTATAAGAGCACAAACACTCAGCTCTTATGACCCTTTTGCTTTGCAGTGAGGACGTGGGTGAAACCACTTGAATACTGATAATGTTTCAATGTCATCCTACAGTCCCTGTTTATTCCTTGACAAAGATAAGTTATCTCATAGTTCTTTGAGGCAGAATCATAAAACAGTCATTTATAATGTAATTTGTCTTGTGCTGGCAAAAATACTATTCCTGAGAAACACCACAGGGAGCACAGTAACTCAGTGGGGTTTACTCACTGGAGTAAAGCTGCCTGGCATGCAGAGACAGTGCTTCCAACCACCTGAAATAAGTCTGTAGGGAAGTTACACCCTCAGTAGGAGCAGTGCTCGTTAGGCCCTACCTCATTAGTATGTAAAGGTGCGTTACTACACGGTGTGTTAAATTAAATGTTGTCTAAGCCTGGCGTATGCTGAGCTCACTGAGCACATTGTGAGCTCTGAAAAATATGGTAGTCAGCTTTAGACCAGTTGGCACAGACTGTCTTTTGGCAGGACCAGCCCCGTACTCCTCCCACCAGGGTTACACACCCTGGGCTGTTCACCCTCTTTCCTCAGAAATGTCTCTGTTTCTGTAGTCCCCGCAGAGCGGGACTTGTACGTCTCCCCCTCCAAAGAGAGAAGAATCATCACGTCCCTGTTGCAGCAGGCACGGCACTGTGGTGCGAGCCTCTGTTTGTGACAAACCCTGTCACTCAGCTGCATCTTCCAAGTCATCGTGGCTGGAGGGACTGGGCTTGCGGGATCATGGATTTCCATTTCGTGGCACCCACGGCACTCGGTCGGTATAGCACAGAAAAGCTAACCCAAGACTAGCTGACCTGCAAGGTACCTGTGCGTCGCTGTTGGGGGACCCTATGGATGCTGGAGTACATCTCAGCTGGCTTTCTGTCAGCCACCTTATGAAAGCCAAGGGCTTGTTCTGCCCGAGAAGACGTGCTACCCAGCTGTTGCACCAGGCTCTTGTCAGCTCACAAGCAGCTGGTGTGGACGCAGTCAAACTTGCATTACCAAAACTTTTGAATCAAGTCTAAACTAGGTAAGAGCTATTTCCTTCACGAATTTGAGTGGCAAAAGTATGAAGTCTGCAGTCTCTGAAGCATGAATTAGCATCATGCTGAGTTAATTCTTTTTTATTTCCTGGCCTATTATTTAACTTAAAAATAAACGGCTGTCTGTATCCTGTGCTCCAAGTTTTGGCAAACATGTAGAAGTTTAAGCAAACCTTGGTCCACTGATTCTGACAGTGTGCTATCCTTTTGTGAGTTTCATTAGACAAAAATATAGTTGTATTGGCAGGAGGAAAACTGGTCGTGAATTGAATTTGATGTCTAACTGTCGACTTGTTCTAAAATCCCAGCTAGGATTTCCAGCATTTCCTCTGAGCCTTTTAAACTCTTTTATTTTTCTCTACTGTCCAACATTCTGGAAACGGGTAGGGGATTAAATTTAGGAGCAGACAGTTCTTCAGCCAGAGAGTCTGAAATGGTTACTGTTCAGAAAAATATAAGCATTTTAGGCAGTAATGTCATTTAAGAAGTGAGTCTCAATTCAGGGAGGTTTGCTCTAATGTAGACGCTCCTCCTCAGTGAAGTGAGTGAGCTGCATTAAACAAAGAGATTTGCTAAGGGGGAGATCTCCGAGGAACCTGAACGCGTCAGTCTGGGTGTGGTGTCCAAAGCTTTCAGCCTGAAGGACAAATACTGATCTGGAAAAAGTCAAGGGGACAAAATGAAGTTGAGCTATTTTGGCATTCTGAGACAATGCCAGAAAAGTGGCTCTGCCCAGGAGTTCCACAGCTGTTGAGCAGACTGGGCTGGAGTGGTGGGCGAGTTACTGCCCACGGCAGCCCGTGCACACTCCCCTGAGAGTGTACACGCCTGTAGCTGAAACGGGCAGGGCTCTGGTGGCCTGAGGTGAGGATGGGGAATGATGATTTTGTCTTCCTTCTTCCCAGGAAGCTGGGCTCAGGTAGGTCTTCTAGCATCCCCGAAGAAATACACCTTCAGTCTGACCAGCTGCCTGCAAAAGCCACAATTCAGGGCAACCAAACTACTGTAACAGACAGTACCGTGGGAACTGGGTAAGGGTGTTTCTGCTGGTGGATCACAGAAGAGCCAGAAAAGTAGAATAGAAACCAAATGGAACTCTGAAAATCCGGGCCTCTTGAAAGTACTGTGTAATTCAGGAAATAAGGATGATTCCATTTTCAATTGGATTTCACACTGAGAAACACATTTAATAGCTTCTGTATTATGCAGAATTATATATAAAATTATTAAGCACATAAGATAATGTAAATATTAAAGGATTCCGTGTCTTAGATTTATAATTTCATGGAGTTTAAGAGAAACTTTTTGGCTGGTAATGTGATGTGTCACACACATGCTGTGAATGTTTATTGTCATTCTCTCATACCAAGCAAATCGGTTATGCAGCACTGTTTGAAAGTGTTCCCTTTTTCTGAATAGTAAGATGGAAATAAAGAATGAAATCTAAACAGCTTTGCATCATTAGTTAGTGGACAGTATCATGAAAAGGAAGCTATTTAGTTTCAGCAAATTCAGCAAATTTAAACATACGGGTGCCAAGGATTTTTTTCTTCCAGAAGTGTGTACATGTGCCATCAGCCTCTGGGAGTAGCTCTGGCTGGAGACAGCCACACTGATTTGGTGCAAAAGTTTTGTGAATCAGTGTAACATCTGTGACAAGCGATCACTGCCAGATAGTTCAGAGCGAGCTTCAATGAAAATAAATTGGGCAATTCTTGAATAACTTTATATATCAGCTGGACTTCAATTTACTAACAGTTCATACCTCATATAAAGTAAAAAGCAATGGGACGAGGAATCTCTTTTTGAAAACTGCAACTTGTGGTAGAGGTGTGCAGACCCTCAGGTTGTCTCGGTGAGAAATATGCCAAATGGTAAGTGAGGAGGGCATTGGGAAGGGAAATTACTTTGAGGATGAAGTCAAATCAGAAAGCTTATTTTGTGGAAACAGAGTGGAGATCAGTGGAGGAAATGTCTCAGCTTCCTTGTAAGGGCCAATTTGCAGTTCTTATAGAAAATTAATAAACTAAGATGGTGACCGCTGAGAAAGTGAGTTTGATCACAATTCGTGGAGATCTAATGTTGAACTGCTAAGGCAAAAGAAACGCAAACACATCATACGAGCAAAGTCTGTGAGAGCTAGACTGCCAGGTTTAGGGGACACGTGAGCAGGAGAAAGGGCATGTTCCTTGAGACTTGCAGGAGTGAGGGTTAGGAGTGCTGAGAACACTCCAGGAGGCTCCTTTGAGGAAAGACGACACCAGTCTTAAAGTCCAAAATCTGGGAGCCCGAGGGATTTATTGCTCTGCCATTATCAACGAAGGAGGAAAGGACATATAGAAGAGGTGATGAAGAATAACTTTTTTGCTGTGGTGAATTACATTAGGGAGTTCCCAGATACAACTGGGATGAAACAAGCTGTCCTTTCTATAAGGATGGAATTATTATTGAGAAATAAAAAAAAAAAAATCTACTAAAATGAGGAATGAGCATGCTGGGGAGGGAATAAAATCTCAAGCACAGCATAAGGCCAGAGTTCAACCAGGGTGCCTCAAAGCCAGCATAATTTAGCCTTTTTATAGATACTTTCTAACTGAAAATCCAAGTATTACAGGTCCCTTCTTCAGACAAGACTTAAGTAACGCTTACCAGTGGGAAGCTGTACAGCAGGGCTCTGGTCTCACGCAGTAACATGTCACGTCTGCTCCTGCAAACTGGTTTTCCTACTGACCAAAGCAATGTTGGGAAGGCATGCTCTGATGGCCTTTGTCTACTTATCGAAAATTTTAGATGGGCAGTCGCACTTGTTATGTTTATAGCACATGCCCTCTCTCTGTGATTTTTTTTTTCTTTACTGAGCAGTCAAGATGCAAGCAAATGGCCATTTATTACCAGTTGGTAAACATACAGCAAAATAAAATGTTTGCAGAGATCTGAGATGCTGGATTTCATGGTTGTGCTTTTTAAATGGAAGGCTTTTGAGTGTGCTTTGTTATCTTTTTAGTTTTTGCCATATAGGGAAATTTTTTTTTCAAAGTCAGTTTAAACTTGGTATATGTTCCCTGTAAGGTGAAGTACTATTTTCTGCAAATCTACGATCTTGTATGATCTTGTATGTGCTAGATGAGCAATTGCATAGTACGTTACCGTGAGGATTGCTTCAACTGTTCAAAGAAGGAATTTGTTATGCAGTCAACAGTGTGAGTAATAACTACTCCTTCATTATTGTTTGAAATATGGTGAGCTTATTAATGAGACTTGATGAGATAGTTCAGTTTGTTGTTTATCTGGAAACAATTCCAATACTCAAAAAGGCAAGAAATTTAAAAAAAGTAAAAAAAAAAAAAAAAAAAGGTAGCTGAAATCTGCAGTAATCACTTGACTTAACTAGCTAGGTCTTTAAGAAAACATAGATATTTGGGTTTGCTTCCCAGGATTACTGTGCAGACTCTTTTGAACATGTTCCACACAGTAAATCAAACTGTGGAAGCCTACCTGCTTTTGAGGCAGGGCTAGAAATTTCCCAATTACGTTGATTTGAAATCGCATATTTATACAGATTCATATGAAATATTTAGCAGCCTCAGCAACACTGCTGACAAGCTCAGTATAAAACATTAAGGTAAAAGTATTTTTAAATACTTTTAAAAAATCAGTGTTAAGGTCTTTCAAAGTACAAGTGCTTTGCTTTGCCTCGGATTTCCAGCAAGAATTTGACTGAAGACTGTTTCTTGATCCATCCTGAAGAACAGATTCTTCTTATGGAAATACTGCAAGTCTGAATTGCTCCATATTCATTACTTTTTGGAGTCAAATAATCAGCTTTTATTATTAAAAGGTTAATCAGCATATGCTGATATAGGCATTTCTTAAAGAAATAAAAATGTTACAGTATTTGAAGCTAACAGCAAGATATGATTTTGCTGCTTCTTATATCAGTTAAATGCTGTTTATTTATTCACAAAAGCTTCCTCTTATCTCAACTGTTTGCATCTTCCTTAACACCAGTTTAGGTTTCCAGTGGCATTTTTTAGTTTCCAGTTACAGTTCAACTGCTGCTTGGATAAACTGTGCAGTACTCAGATTATATTGCTCCTCCCCCATTTTAGCATTAGAACATCAGTTTACTTAATAGTTTAGATTTCTAGAAATATATTAGGAAGTGAAGTGGAAACTCAGTGGTGAAAAGGATACTAAATGTACACAATTAACATAGCAATGTTAAAGTATGCATAAGTATATATAATGCAAATATACACATGTATAGGTATACATAGAGTGGATACAGTAAATAATACTAATTGAAATGCTGAAAGAATCCTGCAGTACACGAGAGTATCCATAATCAGGTATGTACTTTCATTATAATCCTATTTCTGAATTGTCTCATCTGCTAGCTATACACACAGATCGTGCTTGTTTAATGATTTGCTGGCATTTTCTCTCTTTAAACATATACAGTATTCCTGAGAAAGTGTGAGAGCTGAACAAAACATAAGCTGATACTTGGTTATTTTCTAGAAAATGAACCCAAGCAGGGAACTGACTTCTACTCATTATAATTTTTATCTCTTGCATTTAATGTAGTTTTTGTAGTATGTAATATTAGCATATAGTTTAGTACATACTAAGTAATAGTATATTACGCTTAGTATTATGTTAGTAATATATTTAGTAGTAGTATACAGTTTTCTTTCTTACAGGGTGAATATTGCACTATGTATATATGTCCTGTGTAATTTATCTTTATGAAAAATCTACATTAAAAATATATACCTATTCTTCAAATCTTCCTCTGTTAAATCAGGAAAAAAAACAAAAACAAACCCCCAAACAGGTAAAGCACCACTGAACAGAATTTGTTCCACTGTTTGCAAAACACCTTTTTTTTTCCTCCTCTAAAATGAAATCAAAATATCTGTTAAGAATTTTTGTTACCAACATAGCTCTAAATGCTAAGTAATGTATCACGAATTTGGATGGAGGTGTGTGTAAGCTGTACAGTGTATTATGAATAGAAAGGAATAAAAATCTTATTCGCCAGATTGCGTTGTGGTATGGACCTTATTTCTGTATGAAAACCATTTTAATGGGAAAAATTCATTTATGCACATTTCTGAATTAAATGCTCGTATTTCATTGCTGGCGTTATTTCAAGCCAATCATTTCACACTTAAAAGAGCTACAGTGCATCTTTTTAATAACGTAAATTCAGCTGGATCATTTAAAAACTCTGCTTCTGTAGTTCCTGTGTTTGATAGTTGAATTAAACAGCAAAAGCATCTTGGAAGCAACCTATTTTTTTTCTTTTTTTTTCACTTTTGCCTCCAGGAATTATTTTATTGCTGATTAAAATGTGATGTGGCACCATGATTAGGCCCAGCGTTTTACATTAATTTGTCTGCCAGTGGGCCTAGCTTTGTGTCTCTACAAGTTGCATTGAGGGAAATTAAATGAGAGACCAAAGTTGTGTACTGTGCGTGTTGTTTGCTAATGCGACAACAGCAGCTGTTGCAAAGTGAATTTTTCAACCCTTCCTTTCCCTGAGAGCCTCGGAACAAGATTGCTTTGTACCTTTTCCAAGCAGTTAAATTTAATGTTTTACGTAGAGTCTAAGGGTATCGCCAGGATAGGCTGTTGCAGATTTCTAAGGCACCTCTGTAATTGCAAATACAAAATTCAGCAGAGCATTAACAAATCTAACTTCAGAGTTAAATAAGGTGAAGAACTGCACCACAAATACAGTCACACGCAAACATATTTCATACATGAGCCCTTAAAACTTGCACTGCTGGCCTACGCTCCTGTGGATGTCTAGAATACGGTCATTTTGTCGCCTGTATGTTAAGAAGTGTTTTCCTTGCCAGGGATACCATAGGCTGCCTTCTGCTTTAGAACTGAGCTATCACAAAAGCTAGAAGCTGTGCCCAGCCAGCGGCTAACCAGGGCTGTAAGTCTAAATAGGCCAGGTCAGTGTATTTGGAAGAGTTTTTATTAGGTTAGCGGGTACGGTGGAGGGCCGTCACACAGGGCTGGTTAGGCCTCCAGCAGAGACAGTCGCGTGGGTTCTCGCTCGCTAAGGGAGGGCTTGACGTTAGCTGAGGAACTGGTGCTCTCCCCGGGGGCAGCACGCCTTGGATTCCACGGCCGAGTTATTCCAGTAGTCTTCCCCACTGCCGGGCACCGCGGAGTCGGGCAGATCTCGTTGGTTTGCCGTGGGTTTGGCCGTGCGGGGAGGGCTGGTGGCTGGCGGGGCGGCTGCCGCTGGCGCTGCTGCTCAGCACGAGAGCACCAGGGGGTTGGACAGGGACTGGCGGCTCTGCGCCTTCTCCAGCGCCTGGCTTTGCAAGAGGTCACAGGCTGTCAGCTCATGGTAGAGAGTGTCTAGGACTTCGAAGAGGTGGGCTTTTCCTTTGAAAAGAAAATTGCAAATGTTGTCATTTGAACACAGACAGAAAGCTGCCGCTTAACAATCGTAACACCCGCTCTTTTCTTCACAGGTGCCATTTCAAGTAATTATCATGAAATGCCTAAATTTTGAGTCCAAATAATACATTCCTGTCCCTATGAAAACGTAAGAGGAACCGTGTTTGAGGACTGTTTTCTCTCCTGGTTCTCTTGCTTCATTCACTGCCCACTGAGTTCTCATAGACTTGTGTGAACAAAGACTATTTCATGCCACAATAAAGAGCTGCCACTCTCACCATTCACTTAGTCTTGTCAAAGAGGAAGAAGGTGTTTGATTACACAGACTTAAGCAAGCTGCCGAAGTCATATCAAGTGCATAGCCAGAAAACCAAAAGGAGAGGAGATGAGCCGTTTATGGCAGTGGTGATGCAGACTGGACAGAGCTGCACAGCGTTACATCAGTGTTGGCGCAGTTTTAGGAAGCTGGGCTGTGCTGCAGTTACAGAGGGGGGCACTTCGCTTTGGCAGCATCGCTCCCAGTCAGGGTTCCTGTGCAGGAGAAGTAGTAGTGCCTTCCAGACACTTGTGTGCTGTGGATACTAACAGTCTCCTCTTCGTGTGCTCACTGGGAGAATATCTGACCCATGGCTCACGCATGATTTCTCTCTGTGTTGGTGTCCTGAAGCCAACATGATCTGTCTTTGCTTTCTTCTCTCTGCTTCCTCTGCAGCCGTGCTGGGGCAGCACAGCTTAGCTCTGGGCTGCCTGCGCCCTGAGTTGCTGGACATTAGTAAAAACAGGGCTTTGAAACTGCAAAACCCAAAGTGCTTTGGATGTTATTCTCCCTAAATCACTGTTAATAATATTCTCCAAAATAAAACCCTTGAGCCACATCTAGTCTTCTATAATCTTGCCTTTGTGTACTGTCTGGCTATTAAAAGCACCTCCAAGCCACATTCTTAGGCTTGGTACAAGATGTTCATTTCTTGAAGGTAAGTACAATGCTCTGCTAATAGGAAGAAAGTAATCAAATCTAAACCTCCAGGCTGTGATCCCTGTATGGTTCCTACAAAGGCAGCTCTGGCACACCACACCACTGTCAAGGGAGAGGAGTTTGCAAGTTTAATTTTCATAAGAGGAAGAAGAAAGGCTGTTATTAGAGGAGTGCAGGTTTGATCCAGTTTCTTGACAGAAATACTGTTTTGCATATCTTGTTTGTGTTGCGGCAAAGGAATACAACACGCAGTGGGATAGCAAACCTGAGAAGTAGGTGCCTTACATACTTGGTCATCTTTTCCATTTTCTCATGTCAGTGAAGCCCTACAAACATAAATGGGGTACTGAGTTGTTCCCCTAAGGCCAATTTCTAATTGAATTTGGCTTAAAAAATCCCTGGATGTGTTCCTGTTTCTGGTGTGTCACAGACCAGAAAGCATCACTTTCTATAGGTAATCTTGCATAGTACTTCTTTCTACATAGCCTGTCCCCCAGTATTTGAAATATTTTTTTTCCTACTCATCTGTTCATTATCTACCTGGTGGTTTTTCCCCAAAGGACACTTTTCATGCTTCTTGGTCTTTATATGTGACTTATTTTCTTACCAGGTTGGGGGTCACGGCAGGATTCCAAAGTGCTCAGCAAGATTTTCCCCAAGGCTCGCTTAGATATGTTCTTTAAAAAACAAAATAATGTTATGGCACAAATATGTCCTTCACCAGTTTAAACGTATGCAACAAAATCTATGCGCAGTGTATTTGCATTTGAAAATGAAAACAAAATGAAACTGAATCCTGATAATACCAGACTTGATGTTTGCTTTATTTTCAAGGATTACTGCTCAAATAATAGCAGTTCCTTAAAATGGCTGTTGAAGGAGAAATAACAGTTACTCGGTGGAAAATACAGAATTTTCCAGAGCGTGTGCCTGAACAAATGTAGACGACAAGGAGCGTAAGCAGGGCATGCATGACAAAAGCTTGGTCAGTCCTCTGCTAGGCCTGTGTTGAAAGGTGAATGGACAGACTTTGTGGTGTAGTCTCACAAAGAGGCTTCTCAGATCCAGCTGCTCCAGGAATCTTTGGGAACCATTTTAGATATAAACAAATTAGAAGAGATTGGTGTGGCAGGCCCACTGTTGGTTATATATTGAGATCTAATAAACATTAGCCAAAGTGAGAGGATTGTAAAAAACTACTTAGGATTTGAATGGTCTTTTTCAGTGGTAGTTTTACATTAGAAATCTGTTGGGACATTACATAATGTGTCTGGAAAAACAAACTCTCTTAATTTGCTATCAAGACACTAATGCGTGCTTCCTGGGAGATGGTCTTGCAATCAGTTTAATTAGCACTTAGAATGCCCATATCTGCAGGGACAGGTGGTTGTTAAAACTTCAAGAAGTGAAAATGGACGGAAGCTATTCTGGAAGAAAGACGATGTACCTCCCAGCAGCGCAGGCGATGCTCTCCTTGCTGACTGATGCGGGTTGTCTGCCCTCTGCTTGTCTGCCCCGGGGGGGACTGGGGCATAGTGGGAAGCGGTTTGCGGCGGGCTGGGATTACACATGACCTCTGCAACACAGTGTGGGGCTTTAATAGTCCTGACAGGGCGTGCGTTTGCCTTTGGACAGCCATTGCTTTGTGGTAGGTTCTGTTGCAAAGGGGATGCTTGGGATATTTAAAACATGAAGGTGACTATGCTGGGGAAGTGACACCTAAACCCACAGTTTCTGAGGAATAAACTTTCTTTCGTCTGAAGTATATCTCATCCGGGATTTAGGGGATCCTTGCTAAACTCTACTGGGAATGATGTAAATTATCTCATTCGTTGGCAGCATCATTGCCTGTGTCGGTGCTATGGGAGTTGGCAGCACGCGGTGGCATGTTTCCAGCAGTGATTAGCATTAAGTGCTATTATCAGTGAAATATGGCACATTGTGTGATGGATTGTCTCATAAACAGAAATTATTTGCAATAATACAACTGACCAGTGAATGACATGTTGCAGTCTTGACACAAAAGGTTATCGTGCTTGTTGCCATAGTCTTTACTAGTTGGGTCTTTCACTGGATTATTATTGATGCATGTGTCAGACTTGCAATAGGAAAGTAGAATTTCCATGTCAAGTGCTAAAATAAGTTACCGAATTATGAGATATTGCACTTGTTCCCTAGAGTCATCAGTGGAACATGAGCGTACTTCAAACAAAGTCAAGTCATCATCTGAAGAAGCACTGTCATCTCACACAGATTGGGCAGAGGTTTGCTGAGAGTTGAGGAGCACCCTGGATCGTTCTCAAATAAATTAGTTCCTAGCAGCCCAGTGTGGCTCCCAATGTGCCCCATGTTCTGCAGATTATCCAATTTACCCTCTTTTAGCCAGCCCTTACTGTTATCATTCCCAAGCAGGAGATTTAAACTTATTTGCTAAAGGACTGAACTGCCATACTGGCCGTGTACTTCTGGGATGGTATTGCATCATGTTTTATAAGTCCGGGTTTGGATTATTAATTGGGTAAGAAACTTGTTACAAAAAATACCTTATTGGTATATAGAAAGGGGGGTGTTGTCCCTTTAATAGTGACTCAGTGTCACATTAGGATGCAGTTAAACAAACGTCTTATTCTAGAAGGAAAAATAATCTTCTAGAATCTTTCTGATTACTAGCATTTTTGTCTTCCGTGTTTCCTCTAAATTTCTGTTTAGTGGATATAAGAGCTTGGAGATCTAGGCTCAATGAGATCTCTAGGCTTCTCTTACAAAATCAGCCGTAAGGGTCTAAAAGTTTTCTGCAATAACTGGGAAGTTCCCAGGTCAAACACATGTAAAAATGTGTCCTGGTGTAAAGGAGTTTGTACTTAATAGGAGGCATGAACATCCTTTTTAGTTTGGAAAGGATGCTATCAAAACCTGTTTTAAGTCTCTGGACTGCTTTCTTGCCATACCAAGTCTCGAAGTTGTTGAAGAAGCTGTAAAACATCCATGAGCTTTTCTTCCACCAGTGACAGCCTAACTCTCTCAGTCTCCAACATCTGCAGCTCCATCTTCAACAATTCAGTCTCTTCCACCTTTTGCTGCAGTTCACCTAGCAATGGGCCTTTCATCTGGACAATGACACAGGAAATTAAAAGCATCGGAACTTCTTGCTTTCTTGTCCAATAATTGCAAAGCTAAGATTTCCCCCTTATCTGGTAACAGTCAGCTCATTCCAGAAGATTATCTTGAAATTAAGTACATTTCTTTAACACAATTCATAAAGTGAAGAATCATTAGTTGCTAGGAAATGCATGCTCTGCTCTTGCGCGTAATGGCAGTTCATGCAACGCTGGATGCAAGCAGATCGTTCAGAAAGTTTAAATACAACCATGATTTTTTTCAGTTTTCTAATCTTTTGTATTCCTGACATCCTCTAGGATAAATAATTTGTGTGCCCTCACCAGTGTAAACACATCTTTGTCTCGCAGCTCCTACGTATAAGTCATCTGTACGTTCAGTGAAACAAGGTGGCAATTAGCTAATTTCTTTTAAGTATTTTTGTAAAAAAAGTGTCTTAAGAAAAAAAAATTAAGATTTTGGTTCTGCAAAACAGTAGCATGTGTGCTTGGTGAAGCAGTGGTCTGCAGCTAAGCACAGAAAAGTCCAGGTTCAACAAGACTTTTGAACACTGCAGAAATCCTGGGCAGGAGGGGTCTCTCAGACCTGGACCTGCCGAAGCTGAGCTGACCCATCAGTGGCCTCAGATGTCCCTGTGAAGAAACTTTCAGGATTTAAAATGTTGCTTTTGTTTCAGTGCGAAACCTAAGTGACGTATTTTGAACTAGAAAGCTGCCACAGCATTTGCAAAAGGAAATATCTTTGTCACAGGCCCAGCCCTGTTGCAGATACTTGGCCAAGTTGCTAAAAAGAGCCGGAAAAGCATTCCCTGGGAAATATGTCACTTAAATATTCATTTTGGATCTTTGAGGCCACTGATAGATTTCAAGTTTATTAATAAAAGTAAACTTATTTCTTAATCACTATTGTTCCCAGCATGCTGAAATGTTACCATTTTTTGCAATTTCTGGTTGTAAACACGAAGTAAATATATTTATTAATATTACACTGAGAAACAAAATTATATGGAGTAAATGTTAAATTTGCTGGCTCTGTTAATCCCTTTCTGTTGTCATCTTTTATCTTTATTGCGGTTTTAGAAATAACTAAGAAGAGAGCTGGATTCGAAAAGCTGAAGGCCTTAATATGCACACTAGTTAATAGATTTTTTTGGGGGTGGAAATTTGTATCCTAATGAACTTTAATAGATGGGAAGGAAGCTCCGTTCCCGAAAATACAAGTGTCATCAGAGTGAAAAAAGAAAGCAATCCCTGATCCACACTGAGCCTTCTAGAAGGTCATTTAGTTTCTGACTGTGCTAACAGTGTGTATTAGTTGGCGCTTATTGCCCCATCAGCTGGAAATCAGCCTGTTCCATTAGCTCTCTGTGAGCTGTGCCCTGTGAGGCACTCCAGCTCCTCTGAGCTATACAACAGCAGCAGAAGTTTGGGTCGCTTCATCTGGTCCATCTGCCAAACAATTATTTCAGCATCCCTGTCTGAACACCCCTTTCAGATGAGTACGGTAACACTTTCCCGTATGGAGAGCCAACTTCGTTACCACTAGTGTGGCACCAGTTGGGCTGAGACATAACAAATGCTCCAGAGGCTGTGGGAGGGCTTCAATTAATTGAACGTGTGGTTTCCTTTACTATATTCCAGATTGCCCCCTCACTGTAACTACTACTCAGCCTAGCTATGGACTAAACACATGAAGTAGCCATGTGCCCCCGCACAGGTGAAGCAGCGTCATATCAAATAACAGCGAGGCAAGAAGGTTGTTATTCTTAAGCGTAGCATAGACTTTCCCAACGTGCGCTCGGACAGATGCTCGTGGAAATTCGTGACGGGTGCCCATCTCCCCCGCTCCTGCGGCCCCTCAGGCCCTGCGCCCCTGCCAGCTGCTGCTCCAGCCGTGCCGGCTGTCCCTGCAGCGCGGCTGTGGGAGCCCTCCCTGCCCTGCCCTCCCTGCCCTGCCCTGCCCTGCCCTCCCTGCCCTGCCCTGCCCTGCCCTGCCCTGCCCTGCCCTGCCCTGCCCTCCCTGCCCTGCCCTGCCGGGGGGCTGCCGGGGGGCTGCCGGGGGGCTGCCGGGGGGCTGCCGGGGCCGGCGCCGGGCACGGGCTCGCACACGCGGGCGCGAGCAGGGCACGGGCAGCTCCCCGCAGGCCTGCTGCCCAGCTTGTGCAGGCAGCACCGGCAACGTGCTAGGCCAGAGTGCCGCTGGCGATATTTGGAAGTAGCACTTGTTGCTACTGCTGCCTCGTTGTCCTCTTCATTTTGACTGCTCCTACAAAGCCCTTTTTGCTTGTATTTCCTACTCTATACCTAGTAAACTGCTTTCCATAGCAGTTACACCTCAACAGCCACCTTGTCATCTCTAAGGATGCTAGTTTCCCGATACCTTTGTTTCATTTATACGCACGGGTATGCATTTCTTGTCTTCTTATTGTGCTTTAAGACAGGCCTCAGTGTGCCATTAAAACATTCTCCCAAATTGTTTTCCCTAGCAAGGTTACGTCTAGCTACCTTAACATCTGCAATAAGATAACGATGATATTTAAGCATAAACAATTTTTTAAACCTAGATACTGAGGAGGGATGGTCAGTAGTTAGGTCACAGGGCTCAGAGGAGGGGGGTTTGTTCTTAGCTCCGTCAAGGTCCCTCAATGAAGCCTGATTTTGGACCTGTGCCTTGTCTATGAAATGGAAATACTACCTTGCAAACACTCATTTTGAGAAGCCAGCTGCTGATACTCAGCCCTCTGATAAAAGAGGGAGAATGTCTTGGGGGAAATCTGAGCTCTGGAGTAGTGTGTACAAACACATCTAGGACAAGGAATAATTAATATTCAAAAATCCCTTAAGGGATAGATTAGGAGAAATAATTCTACTGTATTTTCCACGGATGTTAAGGAGGCTGTGATATTAGAGCCATTTTTACAAGCAACGAACCCAAGAAACATTTTTAAAATGGGAAGAAAACAGTAACAGAACAGCAGAATGAAGTGCTGAACTGTGCTGTGTAATTTATCTTTTAAATCATTTCACCCTCAAAGGGCTGGAGGGTAGCAAATGGAGCACCAGTTTTTACGAGAGGCTGCAGAGATGATCTAAGGAACAGCAAATTGCCTCAAGAGTCTCGGTAATTCTGTCAGGCAAATTGATAGGAACTGTAATGGAGCAGGAACTTGGTGAATGCATAGATGGACACAGTGAAGAATCTATTAGATTTCTTTGAAAGGGTCTATGAATATATATGAATAATGTTAATTCAGTTGATAGAGTGTATTTCGAATCTGCAAAAAGCTTTTGATAAGATTCATCACCAAAGATTCAAAAGAAAAAAAGAAAAAGTAACTGCTACAGGACAGCAGCACAGATCCTGCCATGGACTTACAGCTGGTTAAAAGATGGGGGTAGAGCACAGTGACAGACCAGAATTGAAGGTTTCACAGTGGAGGGGGATAATTCCTAGGGTCTCACAAGGAGCTGGGTTCAGATTGAGCTGTTCAGCATGTTCGTAAATGATTTTTTTAAAATGGTGAATGTCAAAGTGTTTAGGTTTGCTCTCAATACAATTTTTGGGGGGTGATCAAAACTAAATCTGCCCGTGAAGAATTACAGCAGGAGTTTGTGATATTAAATAGCCACGGGCAATAAAAGATTAGATGCAATTCAGTGTCAATAATGCAAAGTAAAGCATGTTGGAAAGGTACACAATGTCATATGTATGCAGTGATGATGACTGCCACTCAAGGAGATCTGGAAGAGCTGTGGTCTCCTGGACATAGCTCAGCAGTCAGCAGAGAGCAAAAGGATACCTGCCAGGAGCTATTAGGAAAGGAACTAGGGACAAAACAGAAATTATGAACATGCCATGAATGACTTGCATTTGACTGCTAAGTACATTTTCAGTTTTTCTCATTCAAAAAGGGTAATATAGCTTGAAAAACACATGGAAGAATAAAAGAGAGTAACAGAAGTAATGGTTTCTATAGCAAGAGAGCTGAGGCAGACTAGGAATGACGGTAACTAAGGCAGTATTTCTGGTAGTAAAAGTCTGTAAAATTATGAGGGAAGGATCTTTTGTTGATTCCCAAGCACAAAAACTAGGTGACACTGGATGATCAGGCAGCAGATGTAAAGTTTACAAAAACAAATCATCAAACCCCCTTCCTTTCTAACTAGTCTGTGGGAGCCCTTGCCCTGAGATACTAACAGCATTGCTAGCTTTAAAGGAAGGAAAGGTAAATTCATGGTAAATAGCTCCAATACTGGCTATTAAATACGATAATCCATGCAACATCCAGTTCAAGATGTGTCTATCCCTGTGTATTGGGAACCAGGTAAGTAATGCCAAGAGGAAAACCTTCTGTACTGTTTCTTATTGCTTTTCTCTAAGCAACTGCTGCTTGCCATCAGGTGTGTGATATTAGGATGAACTTGTCATTTCACCCTGTACGGCAGGTCATAAACTAATTGTCTTTTTAATTAAGCTGGCAGTTTGTATGCAAGCTTTTATAGAAAATAGTTGGCATTTCTTTTCAACACTACACTTGGCAGCATATCACTTTATTTTTAGAATTCACTCATGTTTTCTCCATTATCCTCAGGTCATGACACCTTCATCACACTGTCTTCAGTAGAAACTATTCTTAAATGTTCGGTAGCATTTTCTAGACACGACAAGTTTCAGAACTCTCTTATCCCCTGGTTTTACAAGTCTTAGGCTGAAGCAATTATTAATTGGGATTTGAGAGTGTTGCCCTTCACTTGCCTGTTGAGTTTGTTACTTGTTAGCTGTGTTGTTATTTGTCTAATTTTCAGCACTGAGCAGGTCTAAACAGGAGCATATAGCGCAATGTATAAGGTAGTTTTAACAGGGCAGCAGAGAAAGTGTTCTTGGTTTATTTATTAAGCCAATATATTTATTTGCAAGTCAGATGAGGGAGAGCATTTCTCAGTCTTCTAATTTGCTTTAAGTTGATTACAAGAACAGTCACCTTTTTGAAATGAATTACTTATTACTCATCTGTTTTGTAGCTTCAAAAAACCCAGACCTATAACTGCACACAAGATATAAATGCTGGCTAAATAAAAGTAAGAGGGTTTAAGAATAAATTTCTAACATGCTCAAAATGATTCATCCTACTGATTTTAAATTCATGTCTCAGTGAGTTGGCATTATGACTTATTTACCTCGCTGCTTGTCTTTAAATCAAGTGGAACAAATTCCATTTTTGTCCTGGAATTTTGTATTAATCTATCAATAATGGTACTTTTCTGAACAAGTTGCACAGAACTAGTGTCTGTCAGCAGAGATTAAAAAGGAGGCAATATAGTACTGCAGAAGAAGATGAGTACCTCTGAATGATAAAATATAGGAGAAGAAATCTGGCACTACCTACAGGAAAGTAGTTTTTTGCTACAGGTGAAAGAATAAATGCAGTTTTTTACGTGGGCTGATGTTAAGCAGTATAGACGGAAGCTTTGTGTTGCTTTAAGGGATATTACAGGAATAGTCATTGAATACTGTAAATTGTGCAAGACACAAGTATGATTTTGTTCTCTTTCTAAATTTATTTCCTCACAAGTAAACACTTGCATTTAATTTAGTCAAGGGGGGGAAATGATATGAAATACTGATATAAATCAAAGGATGGCAACATGTAAAAAGTTGAGTATTTCCCTCTATTTTAAATAGGTTACTAATTAATATAATCCTTCCAGAACTACTGGAATCTTTACACTCATTTTAAAGAAGGGATATAAAATACTGAACAAGCACTACCTGAGTCTTAAGACAAAGCAGACCAAAGCAATGTGTATGATGCACTGTTTTTGTTTCACAGAATGATTACTAGCATTTAAATCTATGCCTATCGATGGCTGAAGTTTGCAGTGTTTAAATGGTAAGATCACATGGGATTACTAGGATATTGCACTGAGACTTTTGAATACTGTGGTTATAATCTCTGCTGAAGGAAAGTTGAACATGCTGCTAAGCTTGAGAACTATTTTTTTTATCAGTCTAACCCTGAGTGTAAACTGGCTGATTTCCTCTGACAGATTCCAAAAAAGCGAGCCCCTGCATCTCAGTCAGCTGGAGGGATTTCTTGAAATGTTCTTGTGCTCCCAGAGGAGCTGGATGTCTTAGGGCAGGAGGAGCCTTTTGTCCACAGCCAGGGAACTACTGCCAGCTGCCTTTAGTAACCCTATGGTTAACGTGCGGCTCTTTGGTCTGCAGTGGTCCCAAACATAGCACCAGTGAAAATCCAAACTCATTGAAATAAAGGATAGTGTTTGAAGAGCTGGTGTCTGACTGTGCCTGGTGTACATCTCATCCTCCAAACAAATGGAGTTTCAGGTAGGAACAGGACTAGAAATGTGGGTGTTGCAGGGAAGCATGAGCTGTTTTTGCTGACAAACTGAGAGCACAGCAAGAAACATCAGCATCGGAGGGCGGAATGGCCAGAATAAAATATAAATGCATACGTATATAGAAGCAGCTACTTAAAGATATATAAATAACTCTTTCACACTCTGCTTGGCACCTGTTACCTCTTCCATATTTGTTTCCAGTTTTTTCACTTCATGGCCTTTAAGCTCAAGCTGTTCAGTTAGCTGTGTGATTCTCTCCGCCAGCTCCACAGGGGCTGTTTCGTAGCCATCAGTATTGGTGGTCTCCAAGTAAGACATCAGCTTTTTCCACAATTTTTCATCACATCTATACATATACATTTTTAAAAAAAAAAAAAAAAAAGTTAGTGAAACCTCACGATGAAGGTCTGTGTCTGTAAAAGCCGGTTTTCCTGAAAAACTCCTGGCAGCACAGGTCACAAATCAGTGTTCTAGCGGACACTGACTGGAGTTAGGTGGGAATATCCAGCATGTTGTTTCCCATGGGCTGAAAAGGATGGGCAAAGGGGCCTGCTGATTTTGCTGTACGCTATCACTGCTTCTTACTGAAGCCACAGTGCTTTCCGGTCATGAAATAATTGTTGCAAAGGGCCCAGGTATCATCAACCTCAGGAACCTACCCGCTGCCACAGCAAGGGAGCTTGGCCAGTATTTTCTTCATTTGGTCGGCCTGGGGTGGCTGGTCTCCTGCCCACTTCTCCTCCTCTTCGTCGGAGGCAGCCTGGCCCTCCACAGCGCGGAACAGCTGATCCTCTGCGCGAGAAGCCAACAACCGCTCAGCAGCAACCCGCAGCCCACCCCCCGAGGTGCTGCAGCTCCAGGCTCCAACCTGCGGGGCTGAGGCGGGGGGAAGCGGGGGTTTGGGAACCCCAGGCAGCGCGGGGTCCTTCAGCAGCCACGGAAGGGGCTCGAGGGCTTGGGCAAGGGAGCCTCGGCAGAGATCGTTACTTAAGGGTACCTCAGCACTCTCTTGCGGGTAACTTGTAGCTGCTTCACTTCTCCCCTTTCCTTTAAGTAACTATAATGTCAGGGTAAGTGCGAGGGATGCGTATGCTGTTGCGGGGGGCAATCGCTGGTCACATATACAGCTGAGTACATGCTTTTCAAGAGGGATGAGAAACCACTGTACTGTGTAAGACATTTTTGCATAGTCATTGTACCAGCTGAACACGTATTCAGAGTGCAGGAATTTGATATAAAAGTTCTCTAATTCATTCCCTGTTTTTTAATTAATTCCCCATGTTTTGTAGGGACAGTGATTTTAATATGTAAATGTAATATTAGATCCATAGCTATCTGATGTTTAGTTATATCCTTTTTTATCTAAGCCTAATGTCTCCTCACATGCCAAATAAATGACAAATGAACTCTTTACAATACATGTAAATATACAAGTACTATTGCAGTAATATTTCAGTACCCTTTTAGCTGTATCTTATAAAAGGTACTGCATTTAATTTTTTTTTTAATCGTAAGAAAATATTTAACAGGGCTCAGAGGATGGTTACGATGCTTGTAACTTACTGTGAGTCTTTTGGAACATCGAGTACATGAAAAGCACTGGTCACATCTTTATTCTGAACATGCATTTTGAGTTGACATCACGTTAAGCCAATGTCAACATGATTTTAAGTTTTATAATTATCTACCTTAATCACTGTCAGTTAATTAAACAGGTTTAATGAATTCTAACAGAGTGATCAAGTCAAATGCTGTTATTTCTTCAAATACTAAACCACATTTGACCTTAGGTAGCACTACAAGTGTTGTGCATTTTGGCTCATTCAGCGCAGGAAAGGGGGGCTCAAGGGGGTGGATGGCCCAGCAGAGACTCTCAGGTAAATGATTTTCTGTCTCCTTTCAAGGACACAAGCAGCTGCAGTTCAAGCTAAGATACCATTTTCGGTTACCGCTCCTAGAAGGGCTTCCTCGTGGCGCCCGGCCCCCTGCCCGCAGGCAGCGAGCGGCCGCGCGCGCTCCCGTGCTCTGGCACCAGCCCTTGGGCGGGCAGTCCTGTCACACCTCCGCCGGGGCCCCCCGCTGCCCCACGGCCAGCCGACAGCGTGCTTCATCCCCTCTCACGGCTATTTTCAGCAACAAAGGACAAATGGCTTCCTTTTTTTTTTTTTCTTTTCTTTTGGTTAACACCCAGCATATGTATGTTATTGTAATTTTCATTCCAGGAGCATTCAGTGTGCCTAATCTATAGCTGATCACGTTCAATAATTTATTGCCTAAGCAGGAACAAAGCTTAGTTACATTTAGGATTGGGCGGGGGAAGATGTTTGACTTCCAAGGCGGCTATCATAAATGTGTCTCCCCACTACAGCAGCCAAATGACCCCTTGCTCAAAACTGCCATCTCTTTGAGAGCCCTTGTAACCCCGCTGCAAAAGCCGAGTCGAGGTCACCGGTAGTGACGGCCAGCCTTGGCAAACGCAGTGGCTTTAGAAGACTTTCAAAGAACGCTCCAGGCAGTCCCATGGGAAGCCGCAAGCACGCAGTGTTATGGCAGGAGTTAGGGCTACACGTGCTAAACAGGCTGGACCTTTTCAGTTGCTGAAGCGGCCAGGATGTTTCCAAAGAGAAATTAACTGCATATTAATATTTTTAATTAATAAATATTAACTGCAAATGGTCTCCTTGGAAATTGCTTTAGCTGAAGTTCTGAGTTTTTATTTACAAAGAAACAAAAACTTCATACTTTTAAGCGAGGAAAAAGGTTTTGGTGAGGTGAATCATATGGAAAAAAGCAGTTTTAAATCACAGCTCTAAGTGACATGTCCAGACTTTTATTAAACATAAATGTATATGGGGAGTGAGAAGTAGCAAGCTGGGATATTACCTTTCATTTAGGTCAAGGATTTCAAGATTCATTAGGATTGGCCTGTGGCTTTTGTGGTTTAACATCTGTACTGCTATTTTGCTGAAGGATCTTACAAATCAGTGAGGAAATAAAGCAGTTGGGTACGGGGCTTGTTACCGTTCTCAGAAATCCCAGCTCCACCAGTGGGAGACCGTCGATCCTGTTGCTCAGCAGACGGGCAGTATCTCCTGTCTGCCGGGGCTGCTCCCTCCTGCTCCGGGCTGCTTCCCGGGGGAAGCTGAAATCCCCCTGTTTCCAACCTGGAAAAGAAGGGCGAAGTCAAGTGGCCTTGTAGGAAATTTGACAACCCAAGATCAATGCGCACTGCGTAGCACGTGAATGACTTTGAGTGCAATTGTTCAGACTTGCTATAGAAGAGCTGGGGTATCTACCTTCAGTGCCTGTGAAACGGAACTGCCGAGGGCTGCATTCCGCTGTTTCGCCAAGAATCAAAGGAAGGTGGATTTCAGCTGTTCCTTAGGTAATAAGAACTAAACATTACTTATGGCTTTGAGTTCAGGTCAAAGACAGCTAGGAACTGTATATGGGATCAGTCTCCTCTGGCCATAAACTCTCCCTCCTCCAGTGACAGTGAAATGGCAGTGCATGCTTCCCTTTCACCCCGACACCATAGCTGGGGTGTCAAGTCTTGCCTCTGGTCACTTGGAAATGTCAGGCAGTTTCGAGCTAAGTCTGGATACCGGAGATGAAGCAGTGTCAGAGAATGAAAAATCAAAAAGAATGATACATAAACAGAGTGACACATCTGAAACCCAGTGAGTTATAGGTAAGAAGCATCTCAGCAATGAGCTTCTGAATTGCTGACAATCTCCTTTGAAATTGTGCATTTTTTCTGAGTGGAATGCTGAGGATATTACATCTACATGTTTTAAAGGAAACAGCTTTCAAGGGGTGGTACACAGATCAAATAATGTAACTGATGAAGATGAGTCCTTAAACTTGCCAACAAAATGTATTTTGAGAAAAGTAATTTAATTCAATGAAGGACAATGGTTGTTCAGGCTGAAGAATCTACAGTTACATAAATGGACAGCACTGGGGGAGTACCTTCAAGGAAATTCAGGGTGGAACATGTTAGAGGAAAAGTCCAGAATATATTTACATGTAGCTGAGTTGAAAATGTTCTAACCCAATCAAGAAAAGACCCAAGCATGTAAAACACTACACGTCATTGGGTGTAGTAAACCGGAAACTTTTACTGTTCATGAAACAAAATCCAATGACATGGATTTATTTTCTCACAATCTAATAAAATATTACATTTTGGAAAGAATGGGAATGAAATGTGAAATGAGAGTCATGATGAGTCCATTGAAGTTACTGCTCCCTTTTTTTTGGAATACATTTGGTTTGGTTCAGTTTGGCTCTCCTACCTGGGATGTACTGAAAGACAGTATCACTATTTTAGAGAAAATACAGTGGAAGTATGCAATATAGTTGACAAAGTAACTTGATTCCGACACTCCTATTTACTTGCAAAATAGTAAATAGGGTCTATGAAATTGGAAATCTACACATAATACTGAATTTATTTTAGGAGTCTTGCTTTTTCACGCAATATACATAATATGCAACTTAATTCCAAAAAATGTTACTGAAATCAGAGCTACGAAGAATTTAAGAAATTAAACTCTTATAATGTAGTAAGAAACTCATAGTTACATTGGATAAATGGAAATTTGGCATATCAGTGCACACATGTAAGGTTTATATCAAACATCCTCCGAGGTAGGAATAAGCTACATCTTAGGTATGAAGCTAACTGAACACCATGTCCAGTCCATTACAAGCTTGTGTACATTACATGTGTATGTTGTGTATTGTAATACACATTTCCCATAGAGTACATTTCCATTGCTTCCTTTTTTACTGTTTAGAAAACAGTTTACTTTAAATAGTTACATACAGGATATTTTCCTTTTTAGACCGTATAATAACATGGTTATACTCTTCCCAGTAGAAGCTGTCATGTAGTTCACAACAAATCTATATCCAGAAGAAAGCAAACCAAATTCAGGGGATTTATAATAAACTAAGTTCTGTACAAATTCTTCCTAAGATCAGTTTTGATCTGCTGAATATTGAATATACCTTGTACTTAACACATTAATTAGTCATCAACAAAAACGAGAGTTAAAATGCTTAGCAAATTGGTCCCACTGAAACAAGTTGCATAACATGTTCTTTTTGGACAAATCTTCTAAATACTTCCTGTCTGTAAATTCAACTACTGCTAGAAACAGGACTTTAGATGTAGCAATAGAAAAGCTGGTGCCAAGTTAGAGATAAGTATTGCAGAGAGCTTTTGTTTAATCTAACACAGCTGCTGTCAGTTCCTGAAGAACCACACCAATATTCATTCCCTTGTTGTTTGTGAAAGTATACTAAGTAAATAAGATCATGAATTTAACAACAACAAAAGTCAGTATTTCAAAATATCTGTAGAGGCAGAAGCTGAGGTAAAGCATGCTTAGGAACCAGCATTTATTTTACCCCCTTGAGTAGAGCTGAGTGCATAAAAACTAATGACATATTTCATTTACAATTTATGGTATTATTTAGCTTAGCAACAATTGGATTTCCCGTAAAGCCAAAGGAAACAGTGGTCTCCAGAATGGAGCCTAGCTAGTCATTTAGCTTCATTAGTTCTGGAAATCATGAAGTAGTGCACAAATAAGAAGAACTGTTAAGCTTGGGCAGTCAAAGTGGGGGCTCCTGGAAGCATCACGGGGGCTCAGTGTTCTGGACAGTTATTGTGGAATACAGTAGTATTTCCTTTCACAGGATTGTTATATTTTATTTTTCTGAAAAGTGCTAATTGTCTTCATTTTAAGACAAATATTTTTGGGTCTGATACTCAATAAGAATCCTTTACAATTTCTTGAGGACTATAGCTAGTATTGTGCAGATTGTTCTCTTAGCTTTGAGCTGCATTATAATTTAGATCTGTTTGGATTTCAGAGACTTTTAGACTTAACTGACATAATACAGAGATGCTGACATTTCAGTTTTGTAGTCTCAAAGTTGGTTAAGATTTTAACCCATAAGTCATTAGGAATATTCAAGCGTCATGAAAATCTTTTCTGGCAAAAGTGGGTAAATGTTGTGATGTTAAATGGGAGCTCTGCTGGTGGTATTAACTTCTTACATCTGGCAGCCTGGTTTCAATTCAGCTTGCAGTCCAAGGAACATTAAGAAGTTTGGTGGAAAAAAACCAGTCCTTCCCATATAATTCAGGACTTAGAATAGCAGACTCCATCTACTTAGATGAGATTCAAGACAGACCTAAATAATAGCTTTCACTTCTCTGTGGTTCTTGTAAGAGAACTTATAATTAGTTGATGAAATACAAAGTACAAACTCTGATTGTTCTATAGTAATTTTCTTGAGAGGACTTCATCAGCTCTCTTAATGTGCAGAAATTAAGGGAGTCATACAGACGGCATATTTTGTTAGGTCTTCCTGCCCAGTGTTGGGCAGTGATGTCTGTCTTTTCCAGAGATGTTCATCTGGGAAACTAGAAAGAAGTGGAAGTTTTCAGCAAGAGTTTTCAGACCCAGGTGCTCCAGAATTTAAATCTTGGTCCTGGCACAGGTTCTATTATTGCATCAAATTGTGTTGGGCCTTAGGTTCCCCAGCAGAAGATATATAGCAAAGTTAGTGTACCTTAAACCCTAAATAAAAAGGCAGGACAGATTAAGATACAGTCTTGTTTTCTAGAACCACGTTTGGAAATGATTTCAAGGTGTTTAGGAATGGGGCAGATTTTAAATGTGCATGAAGGAACATGTGGCCAGACAAGCTGGAATTTCAAAGCTCAACCGTGCCAGATAAAAATAAAGGAAAAAAGCAAGTAGCAGCATAAGTAGATAAGGAAATTAAAACAAAACGAAAAACAAAACAAAAACAAACAAACAAACAAAAACCACTAAAAAACCCCCAAACAACTAGAGATTTTTAAACTTGATCAGCTAATATATAATGTCTAGGATCTGTTGGAAATAGCAAAGCTGGAAATTTCTTGGTTTGGTACATCCTGCCAGGAGTCAGTATAATGTGGTGCTGGGCACTGGTTTATCCATAGGAGCGACCAGGGAAGGCGACGGGAAAGGCCAGGACCAGTGGTGTACTGACAGAGGCAAAAGGAGGGGCCGTGTCCTGTGCAATAGGCTTCCAAAGGAGGGATGAATAAACACAGTTGGTTTTCATTCATGCAATAAGTCACTAATCTGCCAAGTTTGGTGCCAAAGATCAGGAGGCAGAGCTCGAGATCTTTTTCACTATAAAGAAATTGTGAGGGGGGAAAAGGGGGCTGCTAATGCTTCTCATGTAGCTGCAAGGGCAAACTTACCATTCCTTTAAGCTGTAACTAGAAACTAAACATGAGATGGATTGAAGAAGGTTCTAATCAGAAATATTGCACAGATCTAAAAGAATAGCATTAAGGATACTATCTTTGTTGTCTGTTGGAAGAAAGGAGCTGTTTTCTTTTAATTTTGCCATCGGTATAGCAGCCTACATTCACTTTGGAGTATATTTCAAATTTCTGTCTGGATTTTCTTTGGGTTTTGGTCTTTAAAGCAGATGCAACCAAACAGTACAGAAGGTTTAATTTCTCAGGGTTGCTTCATGCTCCTTAGTTCACATTGTTGAAGTACACAGCATTTCATCCTTGTTCTCAAGTGAGGTGGTGGAGGCATGAATGGAGTCATGGTGGTACTCTCTGGTAGCAGAACAATGGAACACCATGATCTCCTGATTTCTTACCATGCAATTTAACCACTAGGTCATTTTTTTCCTATCTGGGAGCTTTTTATTTTCCTGAATGCCAAATCTGCACTCTTAATTCTCAAGCGGCAGAGGTTTCAGGGTTTAAAGAGGAGCATAACAAAAGAAGCCAACCGGTATGCTTTTGCTGTCATAGTAAATTTTAAAAGGAGGAATCTTCACTCATTTTTAAACATAGGTTTAATTCTTTTCTCATTAGTATTCATACAGCATCAAATGGGTCTTCATAAATGAGAAGAGTGAAAAAACAGCACAGTTATTTAGGGCAAAGATCAGAGGGGAAAGTAGTGCTGAAGATGCCTGGGAAGCATTTGTGTACGGTGCGGTGTGGCAAGGCTTCCATGGAGACAGGCAAAGAGTCCACATTCATTTTCAAGTCTTTGTACTGAGGATAATGGGCAGCTCGAGAGAAGGAAAATTGAAGAGGGGAGAGTTTGCAAAGTACCGGACC